AAAAGCTTTTACACAAACCACTCCACAGCTTCTTCTACTATAGGTCTACTTTCTCAAGTCTGTGGGAAGGTAGGTACCTTCCATAGCCCCCAGAAGCTAAGCTGGCCAAAAGTATTTTGCACTAATTCAGGTCTGAGCATGGAAAAACATTCATTCAAAATCAATTGGCTTTAATCTAATTCTAATACGTTTTCAAAATTCATTTTATCAGCAAAAAATTCAATTCTCCCACGTGTGCTCTTCAGTACCAAACAAGAATAAGTAATTTATACATTATGTAGCACAGCACTTGAAAAAATATATTCTAGATATAATTAAACTCCTTGAAAAATTCAGAAAGTGAAAGTCACATATTCCCAAATGAGCAATAAAATGGACTACAGGACCCTGGCTTTTACATCCCCCACTGATGTGAGCAGTGCAGGTTTAAGAAGTTCACCTAACGCTTGGCCATCCCACAGGAATGAGTAGGTTTGCTTATTTGGTACACAACTAAGTATTAAAAAAAGCAAAGGAAAGGTCTTCCTTCCCTGCCATTATACTGTGCAGGCATGGCACAAAGCTAAACTCAAACTGACCAATACACTTGCACATTTTCTCCCTACCAGATTCTCCTTACGGGGCTCGTGTACAGAACCACTCTGGTTGAACTTGTGAACACCGCCCTCAGGCATCTTCAATTGCATCTTTTCACTAGAATAAAAGAAAAATACCCACATGTAAACCAACCACACGCTGAGGAAGAGTAGTTATTTTCCAGATACAATCAACAAAATCTTTGGGGAACATTTTGTACTGCTGTGTGCAGTCTGACCGCTTTAAATAAATTACATAAAAGGTTCCAATGGCATACACAGGGGGCAGAATCCTGATCCCTCTACAGAAAAGCTCACAAAAGCTTTGAAATCATTTCTAATCAACCACAGGAATAGCCGTCGTGTTTTCAGGAGAAACTTTGAACCAGTGAGAAAGCTATTACTTAGTATGTTTTAGAAGGAATGAAGAAGTCCTTTCGGGACTGGAGGGCTGAGGGGGAAATAAAAGAGCAATGCGTACCCTCACAAGTACTGTCTGGGTAATTCCTTCAAATCACACCTTCACTGAACTAAGGCTGGCACCAAACCAGCATTAACAGACAAGAACAGTATTAAAACTCATATTAAAAGGTGCTCTAAGTTATTTTTCTTGTTGCATATAGTTTAACAGATTTTTACTTGTTAACCTGTTGTTACCATTTCACCGCTTCTCAAACTCTGACACCAAGATTTAATGGACAAGTTACCTCACAAAGGCATTCTTTTCTCTAAAAAAAATAATCCAGTAACTATTTAAGTCAACATACTGCCAGTAAAATGCAGGCTAATTTATTTACTTACCTTCCTTGCTTTTCTTACTCTTTTTTTTTTCTTCCCATCTGAGAGATTTTAAGCATGTCTAACAAGCACTTAGAGAAACCAGACAAAAGTTTTCTCCATTTAATCTAAAAAAAGAAAAATTAAATGCTGGCAATTAATTTTTCCACCAGACCTTCTTTCCACATTTGTCCTTTGTGGAGCTGGAACACGACTAGATGATTCATTTTCTGACTGCTCCTCTCCATAAGCATCTAAAGCAGTGCTGTGCAAAGGCTGATCTGCAAAGAACAGAAAACAAGCTGTATAAAATTGTTCCTATCTGTTGAGACAAATACAGGTATATTAGCACTGTCTATCATTCAGCATTTAGAATTTCTGATGTTTGCTCACTCTAGCTATACTTGTTAGAAGCACATTTGGAGGTTATGAAAGGTATGTGTAATCAAAAGTTTCAGTGTCTATACTCATATCTGCTGTTGGCAGGGCCTGGAAAACAAGGCCTACAAGGAGTGGCTGAAGGAACCGGTGCTGCTTAGTCTGGAGGAAAGGAGGCTGAGAGGACCTCATTGCTCTGCAGAAAGACAGCGTTGGTATCTTTTTCTCAGGAGACAAGTCACAGGACGTGAGGCAATGGCCTCAAGTTGCACGGGGCAGCTTCATATTGGAAGTCAGGAATGGTTTCTTCATGGAAGGAGTGGTCAGGCACTCGAAGGGGCTGCTCAGGGAGCAGGTGGAGTTGCTATCCCCTCTAGTTGCTATCTAGAGGGATTTACAAGACAAGCAGATGTGGTACCCAGGGACGGGGCTTAGCAGTGGACTAAGACTTAATGATCTTGAAGGTCTTTTCCAAACTAAATGTTGCTAGAACTTTATTTCTCTACAAACTGAAAGTGAAGGTGCATGAAAGCTCAGCAAATACATATGTACACGCAGTACAGAGTAGACAAAGGTTTAGAGCTTTATTTAAAGTCTTTCTTTGCTATAGCTTGTATCAGTCTTTAATATATTTATCTGACTACTTTCTCTGAATTCTTCCCTCCTCCCCCAGACAACGCAGCACTGTTTCTTATGTAAACACTGAGATATTTAGCTGATGAAAAGCAGACATTCAAGTTCATACTAACCAAATGAATCACAAAGCTCCTCAAGTTGGTTTACACCTGCAACCTTTGATATCCTTGAGACATCAGGATCCTCAGGGAGAAGAAATTTCCGGCGAGGATGAGAACTGCCTTTGTGCTCCTGGTAGGGTACAAAATTAGCAGCTGTCATCCCACTGACTGAATGTATGACAGACTAAATAAGACAAAGAATTTCAAGATTTTTTTATTAGAAATTAATTTAACATGAACTGCTTTGACTATTGGCCTACAAAATAAAACATTCGGAGCATACTTTTTTCCCCTTTTATTATGCTTATTCCCTAGGGGAAGCAATGGTATAACATCAGCATGTACTGCTGGGTTAGGTTAGATGTTAGGCAGAAATTCTTTACTCAGAGGGCGGTGAGGCACTGGCACTGCTACCCAGAGCTGTGGATGTCCCGTACCTGGAGATGCTTGCAGTTGGATGAGCCCTGGGCAGCCTGAGCTGGTGGGGGGCACCCAGCCCATGTCAGGGGTTTGGAGGGGACCTTAAAGCCCTCCTAACGATGCCGTTCTATGGCACGTTACTATGACTTGTATGTAGCACATAGTTTATCTTATTTTATAAAGCCAAGCACACACACCTAGTAATCTTAGAGCTGTCTGATACTAACTTTCTATGACCTGTAGCCTTTTCCTCTTCAGGCATTAAAGCATCTCCTTTCATCTCTATATTCACACAACATTCCTGGTTTGTCCAGCTGAATGCTTTTTAATCTAAAAAAAGAAGAGTTCTAGTGCAGCTTCGTATATAGGTTAGAATTAGTTCGTAAGTTAAGCATTCCACAGAATAACTCAAACAGAAAGGGAAGGGCATCCGCTCATTAGGTGTCTGTAACCGTTCCGTTCATCCGCAAACACGGGGTGAAGTTTTCTCAGACGTTTGTGCATAAGGAGAGGAACTGACAGGAAGCACTGCTCAGCAGGAATCAACGACACAAGCGTACAGTAAAGCAACACAGGATTAAGTTCAGAGTGGAGAATTTTACCTTGAATTCATCTTCAGTACGATTTCTCTTCGTTCTTTTCTTAGAAGACATCTTACTAAACCGCTAAACATACAGCCGAATACAGAGCTACCGAAGAACAGCCCTGAATACAGATGCGCTTTCCTCGTCTTAAGACGAGCAGCCAGAGGCCTCGCTTCACCTCACAGCGCCCAACGGCCGCGCCGCTGCGATTCAAAGCAGCCGCGAGCACCGCCGGAAGCGGAAGCGCGAGCGGCTGAGGCGTCCCGCCCCGCCGCGGGAAGTTGCAGCGAGGGGATTGGCGGGAGGGGAGCCCTGCCCGCCCTCTGTGCCGCCCGTTGCCCCCGTTTCCGCGGTAATTTAGAGCTGTCCTTTCAACGCGTCGTCACAAATGCCATCCAACCGGAGCGGCAAATCCCGTGTTGTTCGGTGCTGGCTGGAAACTCATCGTTACCCAGTCACAGTCCTCCGGCAATGTTCTCTCTCGTCCTGTTTTTGCTGTTAACATTTTCTGGAAGAATCCCTCTTTATTAACCCCCCCCCCAGCACCCCCAGTTACTGGCTGCCTTCAATCCGCACAAATCAGCTCCCTGCAGTGGCACACAGCCCCCGCTGATGCCCTCCTGCACCCATACACTTTCAGCCTGAAGTCATAGTATCACATTAGTATTAATAGGAAATCTCTATACTCAGAATTCGTTGGGTATAGCAACAAAGCTCCATTTGGTAGACCATAAGCCTTAGGCAGCAAGCAATAGTACAGACGATAGTGCTGCTTGGCTCCCACAGAAAGCTCTCTCTTACAGGGTGAGAAAAATAAACCATAGACTCAGCTCCTTAAGCTATTTTCATCATGAAATATGGTAAAACTACACTGTCTGTCCAAGCAACAGGCACATATTTGAACACAGTACAGAATTTGTTGCAAAAAGGAACTTTAGAGTTCCTTCAGTGGGGGAAGAATTCATAAAGAACATACAGATGGTTATGGACAGTAGCATAGGAACAGCTATAAACATAATCTTGGTGACACTTCATCTACCATGGTTTGCATGATTTGCCCATTAACTCTTTCCAATTGCTCCCCAGATTAAAGCTAGATACACAGTATATGCACAGTAAAAGTGGAGATAAATACACACAAGGGAACAATGATACCAACCACCCAAAAGTAGTTTAAGGTTGGTAAAGCTACAGATTTCACTTAAATTACAGTGCTAAGTGCATCATGTGTCAAAGACTATAATGATGGCAAAAAAAAAAAAAAAATTTAAGGAATACTGATGGCGCAGGTTGCAAAATGATATCTTTCTTACGGACATTGGTCAAGAACTTGCACATAAATAACAGATCAAAGCAGATTTAAGCAGATTCACATTCCAAACAAAGCATCTACAGACAGCATTTATCTTGTACTATGTTAAATACAGTTGTAGTAACAAAGTTTTACAGCTCATCAGAATTTCTTCTGATTGTCCCTCAGCTTGTCCGTCAGCAGCATACCCACTTGATTAAAGAAACACTTCACTGAGTTGAAATGCAGAAGTATTTATTTTGGTTTCCTTCATTGGTTTTGAAAATTGTTTTGGTTTTATAAAACATAGAAATAGCCAACACTAAGCAAACATTTGAATTCCAATGTAACAAACTACTGCTCTAACAGTTGACTTGGATTCGTGTACCTTAACTGCACACAGGTATGAAATTATGCTACAGAGTAGTGCATTACAATCACACAAATCTTAGTGCAAACCTTGTTGTGCTTGTATCTTACATATATCCATGTTTTCAAAAAACAGTAATGAGTTCTAATGCAAAACCAACTCTGTTAAGGGTAGCAAAAGACTTATGTTGTCATAAGGCTTATTTCTGCTGATTTCTGAAACAAAGGGTAAATAGTTCTGTAGTTTATCTGGGAATTTGTTTCTTATCCCTGAACAAATACCCATTCAGTGCCAACACTGTTCATTGGCACATCTGAATACTTCCAATTACTGCAAAGCATCAGGCAAAAAACATTCTACCTGACCTATTTTGCTATTCCATGAAGAATACTCAGTGGCTCATACACAAAGCACAGAAAATGGAGGTTATGTCAGAAGCTGTTCTGCTTAGAGGACCTGGCACTTTTTCAAAACACATTTTAAATCCACATTCATTCATGGGGAAACAAGTGACTAGTACAGGTGGAATACTTACCTGACTGTCAGCATAGCCCAGCCTCTTAGATCACTTTTATTTCTAGATCTCTAGTGTTCTTGCCAGAGTTAGAATCTGCCCACTAACTGGACAGGCACTACTCTGAAATTGTGTTAATGCAGCAAAGGCTGCACTTGCTGAATTAACTGTATCTACACGTCTAGTGCAGAGTCACCAAATGCAAGCTTAGCCTGAACCTGTATTAATCAGTCTCCTTAGTACCGAGTCCTGACTTCTACCTTACAGAAGTAAGCCTCAGAACTGGCTGTAGATATAGAAGGGAAGAAACCCTTGCCTCACCCCAGTTAACATTAGGACCAATTAAGATGCAATATCAGCTATATAACTGTAAGGTTGTATATTGGTGGGTTCTCTCTCCCCTCCCCCCAACAGACTAAGTAATCCTCCTGAGGCAGCAATATACATAGAGGCATTTTCAAACCTGCCAAATTCTTTTTTGAACTGAGAACTGCAAGGTACACTGCAGACAGCAAACATGCTGGCAATAAGAAAATCTTCACTCCTTGTTTAAGGAGAGTCCCATTTTTGGCCAATGAAGTCTTAAATAACTTATATATAGTTACCATTTATAGTTAAGGCTCTTTTTGGAAATTGTAGGTCACCATAAAAACAGTATGCAACACAACTTGACAGTAAGGCAGTGTTCCATTTCTTCAATGTTCCTATGGCAAGTACCCATCCCATTTTTGTACAAGTTTATGATTGCACAGTTTCCTTCCCTATAATCACTGTAGTCAAATTACAGATATGACGACCAATAGTAGACATCAGATGTGTGCCACTTTACTCAATCCACCGTTACATTTTGGTATTAGCATAGAGTTCATCTATCTGTGACTGGAAATATTTCCGTAGTTCTGGTCTCTTTGCCTTCAGTGTTGGTGTCAGCAGGCCATTTTCAATAGAAAACATTTCTGTGTGCATGATAATGTCTTTAACCTGGAAAACAAACAGCTAGTAACCAAGCTACATTCTTTGGAATACACAAGACCTTTAATAGAGTCACCATAAAAAAGCATATTACTTTAAAATATTTCCAAATGCAAATTAAAACCAGTTCTTAGTCTGACTATATTGTTACAGACTGTTTAAAGAATTAGATGCTCAAGTCTAATCAGCATCTTACCTGTTCGAATGACTTCAAACCAGATTCTTTGCCAACTCTCACCATGTCTTCTAGGATGTGCTTTTTGACATCCTGTGGATACAAGAATACATTGTACAGCTCAAAAAAAGTTGATGCTGAATAGCTAGCTGTTTACTTATTTACTCACCTTGTTTTTGCATAACTTTTCATATGAGCCTTCAATTCCTTTTTTCTTGGCCCACTTGCACAAAGTCTCAGGATCAGGTACCACAACAGCTATTAAGAAGGCCTATAAAGAAATTTAAGTGCCTTTTTTTTTTTTTCCTGTTTTATTTATTCATTTCAAACAAAGCGACACTGGTTCCTAAATGCTTCTTACTGGTTTTCTGCCTGGTTTTGGGTGGCAGTTTTAACAATGAAACTTTTTTCTTAGAAGTTTCCACATACACTGTTGGCAGGTTATATATAGTGCTTAGTAATCAATTAAATTAATCCATTTCTACTACCTGGTCTGAAACTAGATCCAGAAGCATATTCTGTAACGGGTGGAATCCTAAGTGAATTGAGAGCTGAAGCGTGCAACACTAAACAGACACTAGGACAGGCTGCCCAGAGAAGCTGTGGATGCCCAAACACTAGAAGTGTTCAAAGTGACGTTGGATGGGGCTTTGGGCAGTCTGGTCTAGTAGAAGATGTCCCTGACCATAGCAAAGGGAAAGGTGGCCTATATCATCTTGAAAGGTTCCTTCCAACTCAAACCATTCTGTGATCCTACTGGAAGTGTAAAGACTAATCTCAAAGTGAGGGGCAGGGAGGAAGGAAGAAAGGAAAAAAGAAAGGAAAACCCTTTTCTACCATCTCTCTCTTGCATTTAACTTCTTTTTTTAAAATTACCAGAAGAATGCCTACCTGCAAACTCTCTCCATAGACAAACACTTGAGCAAGTGCTTCACTTCTCAGATACACATTTTCTATCTTCTCTGGAGCTATGTACTCTCCCTGGGCTAGTTTAAATATGTGTTTTTTCCGGTCAATGATCTTCAATGTACCATTCTGTTGACAAAAATAATTTCCACTCAGAAAAGGCACTTCAAGTGATAACCAGTCTACACAATGCATCACAGCAGATCACATAATGCCAGAATTCAAGTATATGAACAAGAGTTTGCCTCTACTTATTTCTATTTCAGAAATAAGTGCCTTTTATTAAGCTTTCAAGAAAGGATCAGAAACAATACTACTGAGGCTTTGTCTTAACATGACCTTAAATGCTGTGCATGATTCAAGACAGTTTATTGACAGAAGCTATTATCAGACACCACAGGAGAGCACTGTCAAACTAAGGTTAAAAGAAGCTCTGCACCCATCTAACCTGAACTAGAAACAGTCTCAGGTTCACATTATTTTTATTATATTTAGCCCCAGATATACAGATTTGTTTCATACGTAATAATTCTCCTCATAAGGTTATGTATTTGTTTTTTAATTCACTGTATTAATACATATATATTTTTAAATTGTTAAGTTATTGCTAATAGCCACAGAAATACCTTACAGCTATATACATTGACTTACTGGCAGCCATTTCCCAATATCTCCTGTATGAAGCCAACCATCTTTGTCCAGAGCTTCTGCTGTTTTTTCAGGATCTTTCAAATAGCCAAGGAATACATTTGGCCCTTTCACACACACCTGAAAGACAGCCATTTGTGTTATATATTACCATGAAGGAAAATAATCATCAGTTTTTGTAAGGAATGCTCTCTGACAGTTCTCAGCAACCACCACTACAGTAATGAAATATTAATTTAACTTTTTTTTTTTATTTTATTGTAGGGGCTTGTTTTGTGCAGGGGCAGGCACAGATTGAGACATTTTCCATTGATATGAAGTATAATAAAAAGCTCTTGCAAGTAGAAAGCTTTAAAAGTAATCCAAGGGTATACCTGGGTGTAGGGAATTCTAATGATTAAAACATGCCTATGAAGTTATGAGAAGTGCCAACATGATATTATGTTATCATTATTAATAGTTACCAGGATTTTAGAATAACCCTGGAAGAGTTAGAGAATCCAGTTCTAAATCAAGGCCAAATTAGTAATAAATATTAATAGTGACAGACAAATACCAGGTCAACTATTACTCTAGGGAATTAGTACAATTGTAAAATAGGCAAGGAACTGACTAATGCCCATTAATTCTCAGATTAGAGGAAGTTACTATTATAGTTCAGAAACTAAATAAACTCATCCCAAACATTTTTAGTGCTTGCCCTGGCATAAAATAGCATACTGGCAAACTGAACTACTGTACAAGTAAACAGAAGATATCATCAGTTTGAGGGAGGACAAAGCATTAGTGGGGGCCATCAGAACCTTGCAGGGACTGTACCAAACTCACAACCAAGCTTAAGTTTTAAAAACTAAGTTACTTTTGCTATAAGAACAGAGATTACCTGGAAGAATATGTAGAGTTTTCCTCTACATATCCTAGAGAATTGAAAAGCTGCTTTATTGAGCTTTATGACTCCTTCAGTCTTAGCTAGCAGTAGGTAATGGTTTCTCCCAGTAGTGACAGCAAATCATTTATCTATATCCTTCTAACTGGCACTAAGACCTCATCTGTATATAAGCATACATAATTCTACTTACAAGTTTTTCTTGAATGTGGATAACTGACTAAAGTGAAGAGAAGGGCTGACAGGGCTAAGAATATTGAAAGCTTATTCTCAGAAAGAAGGACTAGAAGTGCTGAATCCAGCTGATGATAGTAGCTAAAGAGCAAATTAAGAAGATCTATTTTAGGCAAAGCAAATTTACAGCTATGAATTTCTATGCTGTGCAACAAACTATCAACAAACTATACCACTTCTGTTAAATCCAAAGAAGTTTGCACCGAGGAAATTTGAATAAAAATAAGATACTTAATTCTAGGAGACTACCATATTTGAGTCTAAACTCACTCCTAATTCAGCAAAATTTAATAATGAGTAGAAGAAAAACATTAAAATATATATATTTTTTTACTATGAAAACACACAGTTGTTAGAGAAACTGAGTATGCTTTTAAAGCATATTTAAGATGCAAAAAAAACCCTCAAAAAACTGCTGAAGAGAACTAGCAATTAGGTCATACACACAACTGGAAAGAATCTGAATGCTGTTCTCCATTTGCCAAAAGATAGCCTTCTATCAACAAACAAAAGATAACCCTTAAGCATTTCTGGGAATTAAAATCCAATGATTCATTTCTACTCAAGCAAATAAAGCACAATCCTTTTGTTTGTCTTGGTTATTTGTGATGCAAATCAGTTATTTGCTCAGGCAATTTTCCCTTTTCCAAGAAATCTTGACATTTTGAAGTTACTCACCTCACCCTCTCCTTTGGCAGCCAAGTAATTCATCTCTTGCACATCAACAAGCTTTATGATATTACATGCCATCGGTGCTCCAACATGACCTATTTAACAGGAATTCTTTAAAAGCCTGAATGGATTGTTAGTCAGATTCTAGTAGCTATAAGCTGTCTATATACTAAAGTAATACAAGAAGAAACAATTTCTGGTAACACATTAAACTGTTACTGTACTGGTGTTGGTGTAATTTGTTGGGTTTAAAATGTTAAATTCTCAGACACTCCCAGAACATTGTAAACTGAACAGTGTAGCCAGGCTCACTATCTTTATAGTATAATCAGACTGTGGACATTTTAAATTAGCAGAACGATTACAGTAACTTTCAAGTATCAGGACTATAACAGTTAGGGAGCTAGAAGTAAAACATAACAAATGGAGACTGTTCCAACACTAGAAAGCATCATTTGAATTTCCAGTATTTATGAACAGATTGCTATTCTACAAGACTAGAAGTTAATACTACAATCTCTTCTCTCCTACATCTACTTCAACTCACAAGGGCAAAGTCTTTTGAAAGTTAAAAGAATTACTGAACGTTCCTGGCTATTTAAGAATAATAACTCCATAAGAGCCTTTCAAAGTTTTTTTTTGTTTTGTTTTGTTTTTTTTTTACATTACTTGAAAGGTAATCTTACTCTTCACAATGGGTGTATAATAGATAAAAATCCTGTAATTTGGCTTCTATAGCAATCAGAACTTTAACAGGCAGGTAGACATTAAACACTGTACCTGCTGTCCAGTCACCAGGCATAGACAGCGAGCATCCAGCTGTGCATTCAGTCTGTCCATATCCTTCATAAAACTAGAAAGGAAAACCAACACTTACTCAGAATTCTTACTTCTCAATATAGTTTCTTCATTACAGTAAGATTTTGCTTTCTTCCTAATCCAGATTAAAATTAAGTTTAGAAGATACTGAGGATTATGCTAAAGAATACTGCCATATTAAGAAGCTTTATTTTCAATACACACTTTTAAGTAATAATATTCCACCCTCAGTTCCAATACTTACTCAGTATTTCACAGTATTTCACATGCCATGTGTGACACCTGCACAGATCAGAACTCAAAGTGACAGAGTGCAACAGGAAGAGACTAAGAACAAAGGCACTAGAAATGACTTCATATTATTTAAGGACAAGTTTGCTCACGAAAGTCAAAAACAGGATCCCTATATCTCATCACAGCTCTGTTGTTACTATATACAAGACATAAGTCCTTTTCTGTGCACAACACTGCTATACTAGCACACTACTGAAATTCAAGTCACAGAAGCCTCAATTTTTAGTATGTCAGTGCTTTCCACCCCTGAAATTTATTTCACATTTATTCCATCCTGTGCCATTGTTAGATTTAGTCTCTTCAGATTTAACCTCAAAAGAGCACGTATTTGGAAGAGGCTTTGAAGAGAAATTGAGCAATCTAATTCTACCCAATCTCATCCTTAAATCAACAATACTACATGATGTTGAAGAGATCCTCTACAACAGAATCATAGAATGGCTTAGTTTGGAACGGAGCATGAAGATCATCTAGTTCTAACTTCCCTGCCGTGTACAGGGATGGTCCTGTCGTGAATACTTCTGTAAGGACAGCAAGATCCAGAAACTTAATCCAAGAACATTAATTACTGCTTACAGCATCCTATGAATCTTTTTTCCCCCCCTTTAGTTTAGATGTTAATATTTCAGTTACCTTAATGACTTTGAGATGAATATAGAAGTCTCAGAGGCATGAGAATCTCTAGAAGACAGTATGTACTTGTACAGCTTCCAAGAATACCAGAAAGCTATTTACCCATATAGTCAGATCACTAGAAGTGCTCTTACATTAGATCTTTAATCAGGCACTTAAAAGCATTATTGTTTTTGATTAAGGCTAGGAAACTCACCTGACAGCCAAGAGCTGTTCTCAGGAAGGTCAGTACACTTGCAGATACAGGTGCTGCTCCTGTGACCATTAGCCGTACTTTTCCTCCCAAACTTGCCTACAACAGATACAAGATACTGCAGACACCAAAAGCATTTTAGAGATATTTCCAGAGGTTTTTTTTTTGTTTTTGTTTTTTTTACATTCCACCCCCAGCTGCTATCCACCTAGAAGTGCCACCCACAAATGTTAGAGACTAAAATTTAGAAATGTTTCCGTTTCTTTAATGGCATCTCAAGTACATAACATACAGAGGCTATGCTGTAACGTCACAGACTCAGCCAGAAGCTGATATAAATTATGGCCCTGCAGTGAGGGTTTTTACTTTTAGCCTGCCTTCTATTAGTTTCTCATGCATTCTAAGTGCTATAAAAGCAGCCACAGGAGGGTGTTGTACAACCAGAGTTCGGGCCATTGCAAGAGAGCACCAGATACAATATCAGGCATACTTACTAGTGACCTACAGTGAGAAAATAGTAGTGTCTACATATAGTACTAACATTCAGCATTCCTCCTTCAAAGAAGGGTGTTCACTCTTAAAGAAGGAAGCACCAGACTCTTAGAGGAACTACGCAGTTACTCTGCATAACCTAATGCAGTTATCTGATGCAGTAAGAGCAAGAAGAATGAGAACAAGAGTTCAATTTTACTCTGAGAAGCCAGATAGTCTTCAATGAGAGAGGGAAAGCCATATCACATCACACTATAACTGTCCATATCAAATTCAGCAATTGCAAAGTGATACCTATAAACTACAAAGTAGATACAATGATGCTTCAGACTCCAGTATTAAGAGCACATCATACTGCTGTTCTGTATGAAAGCAGGCACATTTGGAGTTCTTTTCAAGATTAAAAAAAACAAAGACATCGATGCAACAGTAAAAAAGGTTCAATATCCATAATATAGAGACCTAGACTTCCAAGTATACCTGTATTTTTCGGAAGATAACTTTATCCCAGAAACTGTTGTTTCTAATTATACCACTTCTAAGTTCTGCTTCTTTCCTCTTGGAAGCAAAATCCAGCATCCACTTCTTCAATGATGTATCTGCCTGTCCGAAAATCTATTTAAAAGATTATATAGCATTAGAGTGCAATAGCCTGATACTTTTCTTCTTATAGTAGCATGCATAAAGACTCAGCCTAAAACAAGCAATTAGACAACTTCCTAGTAAGGATAGATTTTGATATTTGTGACTTGGCCTTTTTCTTTTGTGTTCATTTAAATTGGCGCTGAATTCTCTTCCCAGTCAACTGTGCACAACATTCTCATTAACAAGTTAATCCATTGAAAAAAATAGTTTAATAGATCAGCAAGCAAAACCATCAGTTTTTATTCTAGCTTGGTTGAAACGCCAGTTAAGCATAATCCCTATTATGTTCTAAAGTACATACACACCTCACTAAAACCTGGAATTTTGTAACGGGCAAACCTTTTTCAGAAATGCCTAAATACCAATTTGTCTTGTATACATAAGTTCCCTTTTTAGATCTTTTTAAAGACTCCTTCTAGTTGTTTCCAGAAAGCTACAGAGCAGAGTTAACACCAGACCATATTAGCATTTTCACTTAATAGACAGACCCAGCAGCCCTTCAGAATTATGAGGCTTCCCACGTTGATTTTTCACTTGCTAACTTTCCAGGCTACTACAGGGCTGTGAGAGGTTGAAAATGTGCCAAAGAAGTATGAAACTATCATAAGCACCAAGCACAACAAGCAAGAGAACACAGCAAAAGGAGAAGGGAGACCCAAGCCTTATCCCTGTTTCTAGAATTCCAATACAGAACACTGAACAGAATGAGGGACAGAGTTCTAAGCACTACCTGCAAATGGTCTTGGGATTTCCTCCCCTTACAAAGGGATCAGAGTTGTGCTATTTGTTCTTGGGGCTAAACAGAGGTGTTGCATTACTTGCTGTTCTTCTGGTCTCATGAAAAAGACAGCTGACGTCTGCCATTTATTTGACAACCACAGACTACTTGTATACTTCAGCTCCTCTGCCTACCCTGAGATATCCTGATACCCTGAGATATCAACTATCTGTATATAAAAAGGATCATTAAAAATCTTCCATACGAAGGGCCAAGAAAGACCCTACTTCTGAATACCCATTGCAGAAGATGGGAAGACTGAGAAGGCAAGTAGCAAGCATAGGAGAGAATGGGTCTATTGACACACCATCTCTCCAGCACTACAGACTGGCTGGTTTGTAGTTCTCCCCGCTAGAAATTGCTGGCTGCTATGTAGGAAACTTGTACGTGTCCATGCAAACATAGCAGACACCTGACCTTGATTTGCAAATTCCCTTCCATGAGTCAGCTGCTAGAAATGCAGCATGCAGATGCTAAGCCTTAAGTTCACAGTGTAGACTGGACTTCAGCTTGCTCAAAGCAAAACAGTGAGCCCTTAATAAAGCTGGAGAGAACGAAGTCTCCTAGTCATACTTTTCTATGCCAGTGCTGGCTGCCTGAAAATGCTTTAATACATTCAGCACTACTCCCTGTACTTTCTGGTCTTTTAGAAAAACACAGTAGTTCAGTGGCATCCCAGAACACAATTACTTCTGCTATGTCAGCACAGACTTCAGAAAGCCCCTCAAAACCCTGAACAGCTCTAGACTCAGCTTTAAACTTACCTTGTCAAACATCCTGTTCAACAATCGTGGTACTACTGGAAATACAGTTGGCTGTAGTGTTTTTAGGTCATCCATAAGTAGTCTGATATCCCCTTGAAAGAATCCTATCCGACCTCCATGGCACAAAACTACACACTGTTAGAGAAAAGTAAGATGTCTGAAAAATGTATAATATGTATGACGCACCCTGACTATACACGTACTACTTTTAAATGTGGAGTGGACTGTGCAGGATCCACTGATGTGGACAAGTCTTGCAACATTCTCTATTAAATGAGACTGGAAAGATAAATGGCAAGACATCTGTTGCACATGGACCAAAGGTTTGGAGACAAAAACAAATACTGTACAAGAGCCCCTAGCTGAAAAAGCAGTTGGCCAAATAAGTTCGTGCCAGGAACTCAGAGGCAGCAGAAGATTCAAAGCATTATTCAACAAACTTATTTAAAAAAAATATACTAGAACTTATTGCCTTTATTTGTACTACAAAATCCTGCATTAAAGTCAGATTCCTGCAGTGTGCTGCTTGTGAAGTATTCTCTTGCACTCTAGTTTTCCTTCCTGTTTCACAACAAGGATGTGAACAGTTTGTCATTAGGTGATCAAGATTACGTTTGTTGAAAAAAGTAAGCAGAGCCACTGCTTATTTCAGCATCTTTTTAGACTTGCACCCATGGAGGCAGACTTAATCCTTAGTGTTCTATGCTGTCTGATAGATTAGAAGCTCCACCTGTTGCACTTGTCCACAGGATCCATCCCTTCCCAGACCTCGTTTAAGGGCTGGCAGTAGAGGCTAGGCTGTCTTGCTGGAAATCCATGCCTGCTTGAGGCCCTCTAAAGGTAAGCAGCTTTTTTCTTTTGTTTCTGCATCCACAGCTGCTGCACTTGGGCTTATCCTCACTTGCTGCAGCCTGGGACTCTGCTACTCTGCCACCATTGCTGAGTTTTCCATAACTTTGATTAAGTTACATCTATTCCCAGTCTTCACAAAAATGTACATATATAGATCAAAGCCTTTGAGTAGAAAGCTCAGGGCTCCTATGTGAAATTGTGGAAAGATTTCCATTCCTATTCATCTTCTCACACTTGCATGGAGGCCGTTTATTTCCCAGTTTATGAAAGGGAATAATCAGCTTCAAAATTCATGTTTGCTATTTCATCTAAGGGAGCTAGGTTAATTGAACTCGAAGTAGAACTATACTGCTTACGATTAAACATCTGCGCCTCCATTATACAACATATTTAAGGAACCTTATTCCAGTTGGATATTGCTTAGTAATGATCTTTCAACCTATGACTAAAGTTGCCAGCACTGAGACAGCCTTGAATCCCCTCATCCCTAGAAGTGAAACTCCAGGTTTAGCCTTACAGGCAAGAAAAACTATTCAAGAAAACGTTGGCTTCCAATCCCATTTAGTGACAAATTCTATTTTCATTTCCTGGAAGAAAACTCAACTGAAACAAAATGCCTCTCTTCTCATTCAAGTTTATTGGAAGCAATAGTAATTCTAGACAAAGCTAATTGTAAGTTGGTTAAGAGAGTAGACCACCACATTACACAATTAATAGTTATGTAACTTTTGCAGATTAAATTCTAGTGCTGCATTGATTATATTAGAGGGAACTTAGGCAGTAAGCATATGGAGGACTTGTCTCCTGTTCTAGTAAACCAGTTTCTCTCTAACACTAGCTCTAAAATTAACTTTTGAGATGTTTTTCAAAGTTTACCTCAAGTTTTCACATGTATAAAATCCAAAACAAGTGCTGTTTATCACAGATCTCTGTAAGAAAACATGTTTCTAAGTAGTTCTGTGAAACAAACATGCCTACCTCAACGATTCTCTCGAACATATGAGCCAAGGGCAGGAATGATATCAGAACATCTTCAGGGGTAGGCATGAATGTTTTCTGAAAGTGAAAGTGTTAAGCAAAATAGAATTATTTTTGTTAAGCTAAACAATGAAGCCAGGCACTTGAACTCTAGAGCACAGCCCTCACTACAGTTTGGTTAAAATAGAGCTTTGCTGTCTCTCATTCACTAAAGAGACTATATGTACTAGAAGTCATTGCTGTAATTGTGTTACATCTCCATATAATAACTGCTCAGATTATCACAATATACATATGATTATGAACAAAAGCATGTTCTGAGAGAAGCTCCGAAAAGTTCCATTATACACACCACAGGGGATGGTATGGAGATGAAAGTGGTTTGTCCTTGGGGATAAAAAACACGTTCACTGCAGGTCACAAAGTTCATTTGTCCAGTTTATAAGCCATAAGTCTAATATCAGGAGTACCTCACATGATCTAAACATGAGACCAGTTGCTTAATTTAGAATTAATTCTATAAGCAGTGTACACAAAGTAGATATGCCAGAACTTCTGCATGAGAGATCTGCTTTTCCCCACATGCTCCTGGCCTACAACATCCTAAGTAGAGGACTTTGCCACTGGGGGGGGTCTAAATGCAGTCCTCTGCCCATAGTTTCCCCATGAAGACAACAGCATGTAACAACATGCCAGAAACTACAGCTGAAGACACCAGCTCACTTTTAACTAAGCAAAATGGGCTCTGGCAGTAGTGCAGTTACACTATTCTAGACTTTTTCTATACTGATAAAATAAACGTTCAAGAGAACAGTCCAAGAGCTACCCTATGGCCCAACTTCTGCCACATCTACACACTAGAAGCAAAGTTGCAAGTTCTCCAGCTGTGCTGGACCAATAGTTACTAACATAGTATCAGCTCAGTGGGGTTGGGAAGGGATGAACATCCCCCCAAAAAACTAGCAGACCTGTATTAATTCAAGAGCAATACTCAGTTGCTATTTCTGGTCCACAAGAAGTTACATGCATAAGAAACCAAGGAGGAGCTTACTGAAGAAAAAACTAAGATCCATGCAACTAAATCTATTAAAGTCTTATAGATTTAGAGAAGTCAAAAACACCCGTTAGGTTTAACATGAATTACATTATGCAGCTTCTCACATACCTATGAAGTAAAAGAAAGAGGCCTTAGGTAAACATTGACTTCTGAACCAGCATAGACTAAGTGTTGACAAGTCACATTTTTCAATTCAATCTTACTACATCATGACTGAAGCTTTTGAAATTTTAGTGTTGCTCCCCTCCATGCAAACAAACCCATAATGTTAGCTTTGCAGTTTACCTCTGTAGTTTTCAGAAAAGCTGAAGAATTGCTGATTATGTTTTTATGAGTGATCATAGCTCCCTTGGGGTTTCCTAAAGAAAAAGCACATCAGTATGTAACAGTGAATTTGTCAGATCCTGTAAGTTACCAAGCAGAGGTAAAAATCAAGCTAATAGCATTTCAATCGGTTCCATCCTGGGCATTAAAGAAAAGACTGAGCTAACTAATGTGTTAGTAAGAGAACTATTACCAACTGAAGTATTAAGTTCACATGTAAGTACTCAATTTAATAAAGAGAGCAAATCCTCCAGAAACAGGTAAATTTCTTAGATCAGCTTTTCAAAATTTCTGCGGAGGCAGCTATTAAGATCTCAGACAATTCTGCTCTTAAATCTGCTACAGAAGTGTAACTAATACCATTGTATTCTTCCTTTTCACGCCCTACCGGTGTTGGATATTGTCATATGCTTCACATTTGTGAGTTATCTAAACATCTGGCTTTCCATTTCAGTTCTTCACTGGGGGGGAGCACAATGCACATAAGCTACATAATTCCTGCTACTACAAAAAAAACAATTAAGTCAAAGTCTAACAGTAATACAGCTTCAGTACCTATTTTTCCAAACCCAGAAGTGTTAGATTCCTGTCTGACAATACTGCAACTTTGTACCGATCATCAGGAAAAACCAAAGGAAGCCTTATAATAAAATATCCCCAGATGCTACTTGCCCAAAAAATAAAAGGTTGCAGCAGCAGCAGCATAGGAAAGTCTTAGAAAACAAAGTAGGAGGGCTCTCTGTGCTGATCAATCATGCAGAGTGTAATTAGGAATACCTGTTGTTCCACTGGTGAAACAGATGACTGCTAGATCTTCTGGCTTTGGAGGCTATGAGAATTAAGAAAGTATTACTATGGTTAAGATTGCTGGAAAAAAAGAGACTTGCATAAAATTTTGAAATACACACTGAAATGGAGTTACTTTTGAGCTATAGGAGACAGCATTACACAGACCAAACTAGCATAGTCACCCTAACTTCAGATTCAATTTTTAAATCAACTCACCATAGGTTTTTGTCTGTGTGCTTTTCCCAGTTCCTACAGTATGGAAAGAAGGGAGACAAGTCATGAGCTTTAAATTTACAAGACCAAATTTGGTAACCTACATTACTAACTACCATAACTTCTATCATTAGACTGCCTGTTAAGGCTTTTTTTTTTTTAAAAAAAAAAAACAAAAAACTTACAGAAGCAGAACAAAGGCTGTGAAGGATATAGCAGAGTTAGTGTTCTACAAATACAACAATAACTAGAATTCATAGAATTCACCCTACCCCCTTCTAGCTAGTAAGCCAGCAGCCATTCATGAAAGAAGCTCAAGGCTGAGCAGTGCAATGACAAAATCCAACACCTCATGCAGAAGATGTGTGTCACTGAACAAGTGAAGCAGTATTCACCTCAGTGAGCACCTTGCAGGTTTCATCACTGCTTGTGATGAGAACGACTGAGGTTTCCCCAGGAAGGGGAATTGATGAGTTACAGTCCTTTTACACTAATATTTAAAGGCTTAAGTAAATTTCAAGTTGACCTCTTGTTAAATACAGTTTTGCCCTCAGTGTGCAAATGTATTAACTTGGCGACTGCCTTTACATTCTAAATCCACAGGAGTATTATTATGCATTCCTTTATTAGCCCTAGCTTTCCTTGCGCATGGGTAACTTTTAGATTCCTAAATTACTCACATGCATCAAAGTTTAAGGAAAAAAGAGCATCTGGAAACAGTTGAACTGTAAGCTTGCCTTTTTGAAACAGGGCCATTATACAAAAAAAAACCAAACACGCCACTACAACATAGCTGTCTACTCAAAACAGCATCTGCATTTCAAGCACCACCGACAGCTCAATACTTCCCTACAGTCTGAGTGAGCCCCATTATTTACTTTTGATACACAACTGAGATTTCTACACATTTTTATACCTATTACTACATTAACCCCAACCATCAAGTGTTCTTATAACAGCATGGAAAAGATCTTAGCATGTTAGTCGGAAGTAGTTACTTCAGCATCTAGATTAAGTATTTACCGCTAGGTTTTTTCTGTAGCTAGATGATTCAGTGGGAAGTATCCTCCTATACTAAAACTCCTGCTTGAGGAAACATTTACATTCTCCCTACTGGAGACGATGCCTTTTTTCTCCACTACATTACAAGAGCCTACACAAATTCTTTGAAACTAGTATTTCTGTAGTATTAGTCATAGCATACAGTTAAGTCTTAATCACAGAATCACACGGAATTGCAGAGGTTGGAAGGGACCTCTAGAGATCATCAAGTTCCACCACCCATGCATGCAAGGCTTTATGTTCAGATCTGAGTTACACGTGGACATATTCTTCCATCATCTTGCATACATGCTTTGACTCTTTGAGTACTGTGAAATAACACTAGTAGGTTATTTTCCTTATAACTGTCTCTTGCTTGAAATTAAGTCTACGTACTCTGCTCAGTCCTGATATCTGTACAGCAGACACTCTTATTCTTTCACAAGTAAATGGGAGATTGAAGCAGTAGATTGAGAACGCTTACCTCTATTTCCCTCATGCTGAAGATTTCTACCCCACACTTCTTGCCACGTTCCACAAGATCTGTGCCAAAAGGCTCCATGATCACAATGGTGCTGAGGATTGGAGTTTCCCCCTTTTCTACAGCAGTTAGCAGAAGTTTAGCCTTCTCAGGTGTGTCGCAGAAAACCAGTGATAAGTCAGCTGATGAAGGAGAACAACATTATCAACATGACAAGTTCAGACTAGCTCCATACTACAGAAGTCCGCAATGGAAGAGACCTCTGAAGGCAACTACAGATCTGTTCTGAGTCAGCTCCAGCATACGTTCACTTGCTGAGCTATCAGAAATGCCCTACCTTTGTTCACAATGTAAGTAATCGCTTCAGTTCCCAGTGTATCATAGAGTGGCACCACCACCATGGAGTACGTATAGCAACTCTGTTCAATGATAACCCACTGCAAAGAAAAAAAAAAGATGTAAGTCACTGTGTTTACCTAAACTTTTAAGAAAGACACAGAGGCATTATGATTATTATGCTGTTAGGAAAAAGTTCATTTGGACAAGCTCCCACTAAAAAAAAACTCAACTGACCTTAAGAGCAATTTTAAGTAGTCTTAAAAGAACAGTTAACACATTAATTCTTTAATTTACCTACTAACAGCTGGAAAGTGATTAGGAATACTATACTGTTTCCTATCTTCAGGTTCTCAATGAAGCCACTGAAGCCTTCAAAACTTTATATTATCATTTATGAATCAATAAAGGACTTCTAAGTTCCTACACACACAGTATGTTCTCACCTGTACGTTACCTGCATCTCATTTGAGGACCAGAAATGCAATACATTACAGATAACAGAATATCTGATAAAATTAGTACAATTTCAGCTAACTTACTGGTATGTCTTATATCTGCATTAAAGATTAATCAGGCACATCTACACCAGCCATAATGGGGTCTACTGAACATTTCTCTTCCCAGACAGCATCTATCTGCCCCATCCCTAGGGATGTTCAAGGCCTTCAGCCTTGATCTGATGGGGTGCAACCCCATCTTCCACAGCTGGGGCATGGATATTTAAGGTTCCTTCCAACCTAAGCCATTATATGATTCTATCATAGATGTTGATTTTGTAATAGATGTAACCAGAGGGGCAGCTGTACAGCAGTTTCAATTTTAGTAGATATGTCTACTACAGTAACAGACTTTTGAAGCCACACACACTTAAAGCTTCCCATTATAGCCTCCAACCATTTGTGCATACTGTGACTGTCAAGACAACAACCAACATCCTATTTTCTGGACCACCATGACATCTTGCTTCCTTTTTAGCTCCTGAAGTTAAAACCATACTTAAATAGAACTATTAAACCTCAACACTTCAGCTCTCTCTCAAACCCTAAGCAGATAGTACAGAACAGAGACAACAGGCTAGAAGTTTCAATTTCTTTCCTGATAGGGATGTGATCTTCTCTTAAGGGAAACTGCACATTTAACTGCACTGTCTTCTCAATCTGTAACACTATTTCCTTGCTTGCAGAAAAGATTCTGTTGTCCAGTTACTCAAAATGAAAGTAGATTTTAATAATCCAGATTTATTTTTCCAGTGATATTTCAGGAGGTAACATGCTAGGATTTCAACTCCCAACTCCAGGGGATTTTCCCAGCAGTCATTCCTGGAACTGAAAAGTATGAATCACTGACAAAAGTCTTTACGTAACCTGGACTACTGATTCTATTTGGAACATCACAACACTTGTTCAGTAGTTTTCAGTAGGGAAAGTTCCAGATTTAAAACTGTTGGTTTCAACAATTCTTTCCAGCTCCCTTCTGATCCAACTCAAAGTCTGCCAGAGCAATGCAACTCAAGTACATTTGGCTTTCATGATATTTAAGCCAACCACACCATCATGCTCTCCTTCAGAAAGTCCACTGACCAAATAACCCCAGAACTTATCTTTCAGGTCAAAAGTCGTAGTCGTGGAAAAGTAGTAGTTTCTCCTTGCACCTAAAGTCTAGTGTGACACTAACATCTGGCTCTCCTCCACACTTTTTTCCTAAAAGAAAAACTTCCACTTAATGCTATAAGCTATAAGATTCCTAGTTGGAGACAACCCAGTTGTTTATTACTGAAGAAAGCCTGTAGCTATTAGAACCAGTATTCCAGCAGGAAAATGCATGCAAAGTACCAGATTTAAGATCCAGAAAAAACATTTATTTGTCTGTACAAATTTTGTTTGTTTTTTTGTAGTGGGAGTTAAGAGAAGAAGTTGAGAGGAGGGTCCAACATCACTTGTCATCATGGTTTTTGTTTGTTCAGGGGGGGGTTTTGCTTTAAGTGCCAGAAGGGACGGCTTAGTGACAAACTGAAAAAAAAGTCAGAAGGGATCTAAAGTGGTGTATAACTGTTTGAATGGCAATATTATAGGTTGCCCTAAGTAACTCAATCCAGCTGCTGGTATTCATTGGAAAGAGTCAACATTTTAGACAAAAATTTATCAACCATCCTCCCATCTTGATACAGGTTTGGTTTAAGTGGCCTACCACAGCAAGTACCAGCTCACTATTAATCACAAACACAAGGCTGCATTTCTGTAACCTACCAGTTCAATCAGTAAGTTTTAAGAATCAACAAACATGTATCAGTTCATACTATTTTTAATAACAGCAATCTAGAATCACTGCCAGATTACTATGATAGATACTAATAAATCAATCTAAACATCCCCTTAGTTGTCTCAGGCTTGTGAGATTTGCCTTTGATAAATGATCTTTAGTTATACTACTTCTAGTCCATCTCCTTGAGTTTCAAAGAGTTCTCTATTTTTGCCTTTCTTAGTTTTCTAATCCAAAATCCTGATGTTCAGGACCTCCTCCACAGAAAACAAAGATGAAGATGACAGAACTTCGCACAAACATTTCATCATTAAAGGACTAAGCACCTTGTGACTTCCAATCTCTTTCAGTTACTTAGTACTACAATGCCATTTTAAGAGAAAGCAAATTGTGATGAACATTAAATCAAATAAGTGCTGTACTGACTTCCTATTAAACGTCTTCTCTATCAACTGAGGGGAGAAGTAGAGAGTTAAGTTCGTTTGGATTTCCTAATGATTTCTGGTCTTCTGCATACAACTCCAAGTCCATAAAAGAATATAACTAACAATTGTGTCAGTTATCCATTTCAATTCTTAGTTAAAGATGCTACATCTATGGGTCTACAATAACGGCTCAGCCTTTAGCCCCAACTCCAAGAGCACCCTTAGTACAGAAGCTCAGTACACTGCCAATAATTAATAGACTAAAATGGTGGGCCATTTCAAATAACAGCTAGACCACTAACAGAAACACTGTCAATTACCTCAGGTCTGTTTTGTGCAAAGACGCCTATGTAATGGCTGTGAGATGGTTTGAAGCCTCGGTGAAGTAATGCAGAGCCCACATACTCTGCTCTGTCTGAAACCTGGGGGGAAAATGAAGAGAAGCCAAATGAAAAGTTGAGACAAGCTCCAACAATACCCATGAACTATTTTTGCCTTAAGTCTAACAAGAAGGACAATAACTGATGTGAAGTAGACAGCGGCTTTCTAGAGTATTTTAGATGTTCTCTAATTTTGAGGAAACCAAAGATTGAAGTAGCATTACTATAAACTGAACATAGACACTACACTTACATCCAATATGAAGCAGAAGAGATGCTTAATCCAGCTGGACTTTCATTTGTTAAGTAAAAAGTTTTGACTCCATACTCTATATATGCAGGAAAGGCTAGAAATGCAATAATTCAGCTTTATACTGCTGTCTGCAACAACACCAAACAAGCTATCTTTCTGCTTCATTCTTCAGAAAAACACTGAACTCAATTGCCTACAAGAACATTTCACCCTTCAGGAAGCAAGAAAATAAAAAGGCGAAATCCAGTTAAATCTATAAACAAAGTTTTTGGGAAGGCAGTTCTCTAATTCCTCCTTCCACACAGCATATTACCTGAATCCACATTAGTCACTTGCCTCAACCAGAAGTGCTTTGCTGATGAGGTTGTACCAAAGAGATGCCCAGCAAAAGTCACCAGGAAGTCACCTCTGCTATCTACTAAAGGTCTTTAAGTGATCCTAGGGTCTTCAAGTGACCCTAGCAGTATGCACTAAATAAAGCTTATGCAAATTTTAAAGACATCAGCTTACTAAGTCAGAAACAGCCTGAAAGTGCAGAGTTGTTCAAGTTTAGCATGAAGATATATTTTTAAAGACATTTTTAGCGATGACAAAGCAGCAGTGTGCTTATAGGTAGAAGTACATTTATTAACATTATAATGTGTCCTTCAGCACTACAGAGACAGGCAGCCAGGAAGCACAGGTAAAATTTGTAAGTAGGGCTCTTTCTACTGTAAAACTAGTACCAGTCTGCATCCCTGAATACCATTTTAAAGCCACAACCCTTTAGAGGCAGCATCCAAATTCTAAGCAATTCAGCAGCAAGACACTAAGCTGCAAAGATAAGACAAAAACATTCAGGAATAAAGCACTGAATAAATTAAGTGCAGGAGGTGGTGTGCTTCCCTTCATATTTATTTTTGAGGCTATTCTTTTAAGATACTCTATTAGGAACTAAAAATCTTTCCACAATGTTTTGATACCAATTTAAGAACATCCATACATAATTAAGACTTCATATTGCAACTGCATGTTGCACCAATAGCCCCAGCAAAGAAAAGCAGTTCTAGAACTAAGTGAAAAAGACTACTTACCTGTTTATAGGAGATCCACTCATATGGCTGGTTTGGTTTTCTAACCCCTAGACATGGACCATTATCTAAAAACAGCAATTAAAAAAGTTACACAAAATGCAATCCCTGCCTTTGTCTTGCCACTACACTAATTACACATTCACCAGCATTAAGCCGACATCCTGTGAATTCTTTGCAAATACCTTCTGAAGACAGCGTTGGTTTTTGTTGTTTTTTTTTTTTTATTATTATTATTTTTGGAGGTTGAGAACAAGCAGAGAAGGAAGCCAGAGAAGGATACATTGGTAACAAGGCTTTATTCAAGCATCCCTGTTTTTCAGAAGGTCATAACTGGATTTGCCTTCTAGATAGCTCACACTCTATATATTCATCTCGCTACTAGGTAGACATCACTCTCCCCTCTCCAATCTCAACTGCATTTCAAGAGCTCGGACCTTTAGCTCTTAACATTGCTGATAAAATGCATTTTGAATTCAACTTACTGGATACATGTAGCCCCCTTTGGAACATATCATAGACTGTTCTCACATCATCATAGTAGCAAGTTATCAACTCATCACTGTTGAGGAGAGAGGACCTTCGAGCATTCTCTTCACCCTATGAAAACCAGAGAAAAAAGTTAGATTCTCCAGCACAGATTAACATGATGTTCTGAAGGAAATAGAAACCTCTCATCCATTTAAAAAATTTTGTTATGAGCCCTAGTAAACTGTTCAAGAGAGAGATCTACAAGGCTTCCCTGGACATCACTGAGATACATTAGATTTCTCCCTACATTACCACAAATGTGTTGGCAAAAAAAATTGATCTTCATCTACATAAGAGCACAGAACAAGTTTAAGTACCACAAAACGCCTTTTGACACTGCTTTCTCTTGACAGGACTTTTCTTTAGGGATATTTTACTGTAATCTCAATTGGAACATTCTAGCTATGTTACCGCTGAGATCCTAATCTCCAACTAGTAGTTTTCCAATTACTATTAGAAACCAACCATGCTCCAATTGAGCTTTCAAAATCTAAATATTTTAGGCACAATCAGCATGACTTCAAAATGAGTGGTCTCATAAGTAAAATACTTTGTACCAGATAAAAACTGAGTCCAGAAAAAGTTGTTTCCTGACTTAACTACAGGCATTTATGACAATACCACTATTTTTCAACACATGAGCACTTGCACATACTGTCAATTGTAGTAAAAAAAAAAAAAAAAAACTGAATAATTTCAACATAGTCCATCTGATAGTGGCAGATTAAATAAGCTCATTTTATACCAATTGCAGTTATGCAAGTACTAAGCAGACCAGCTCAGAGGACAGACAAGCAGATTCTTAAAAGGAAGTACAGTTGGTTAAACAGTTTCAAGTACACATCACTAAAAATCCTCTTTATAAGTGGTTGCTGTGAAAGAGTCAGGAGTTGATTAAGAGGTCTTGGACTACCTAAATCTATGCTTGTGTTGTGATATCATGGATGATGTCAAAAGGCTGGTCATGTGCAGTCATTGACACTTCTAGGCTAAAGATTTATTTTTTGTTTTCAAAGTACTCTACAAGAGAGAGCAACTAGAAAGAAATGCTTTATCTGCAGGGACATAGGTTTGTGTGTCATATCACACACATATCTGGAAAGGAGCAAGCATAGTAGCAGTTCACCAGAGACAAAAACATTTTAAACACAAAAACAAGTCTAACTTGTTTTAGAAAAGCTATGTGTAATGCAGTTCTTGCCACTCCTTTGACTGTAAGCAGAAACATACAGAGAACGTGGCCCAGAACAAATTAATGACTGGCTTACCTCTAAACACTCATACATCAGAAATTCAAGAGCACACTTGCCCTCACACCAGTGCCTACTCTGTAGGAAATGAACCAATCACTTAAACAGAAAAAATATGCATGACTGCTTGTTTTATTTCAAATGTTACACAGACCATGGATAACCAAGGTCAGCTTCTATATTTCCCAGTTTCACCACCTCTTCTGTTAGCCAGAGGAAGATCATGACACAAAGTTCATAATCACAGTCTCACTGTAGATGTCACTGCATCTATGGTGTAATGCATTAGCATCATTTGAGGCTCTACAACTCACACATCAGGCAAAATACCACACCCTACGCCATTCTGCAGCAACAGACAAGAAGTGTTTTCTTCTAATCAGAGCCAGTACTGTTTAGCTCATACATCCTATTACTTAGAACTACAAAAGCAGTTTTCACAGGGCCTTTATCAAACAGCACACTGCTTGAATTCAGGACTGACTGCACTGTTCTTTTAAAGAGGAACATTAGAGAAATTATAACGGACTACTATTGAAACAAACCATCAGTTCCAAATTTTACCAATAAAGGGAAGCACAACCAACATAAGGTCCTGCTTACTTGATTCCTCCTCCCAAAGGAAAGTGAAATTAATTCTAAGGTTGTTGGAAATCCAGTTTCCACTGGAGAATGCAGTTTCTCATAAGACAACAAGAGTGTGAGAGTTTAATGATATTCTTCAGTAGATATAGGTGTATTTCACTGCATTTTTGAAGATTACTTAGAATACAGCTCATGCTGCCAGCTTGAAGTCAGTTATTAAGCAGTATTATAGCATTGGTCTAGTTTTGGTCTAGGGATTCCTATCCAGAATATTTGTGCAACTATTAGGCAAGGGTTTGCTCACAGCAAGCTTTTCTAAGAAGCACCTCTGCCTGAGCACAGGTCCAAAAAAAAAAAAAAAAAAAAAAAAAAAATTTGCAAAATTACTCAATCCTGCCTTCCCTTCTACAGATGACAGGTTCAAGTGAATCCTGAGAAACTTTTACTTATCTCTGAAGAGGTTCTTCTCAAAAAAAGATCAAGTTGGGAGCTTTGAAAGCAGGTTTTATGTCAGTGAAGTGGAATTGTATCAAGTATACTTCAAGGACTGCGCTCCATGTATTTTAATGGACATTAGTCAAGAAGAAAGCAGATACTTTCAGTAACTCTGTACTCATTCAACTGAGCATACAACCACTGTGCTGGCTCAGGGTCAATTAGAACAGGTTACTGGATGCTGACCTACTAAATCAAAGCTTTTCAGAAGCTGGAAGTGACCTGGAACAGCAATAAATAGGATGCTTTTAGCTTCTTAGGAGAGAAGTTTTATCATCAGAACATATAGAAACACTGTACCGGTCACTGACTTCACTTAACCTCATTAGAAATGAAGAAAATAATGTACACATAAGAATTATAATTCAAAAAATTTTAACCAGTAATGAACAGGTAGATTTGATATTAAAAATTAGAAGAGAATAGTGTTTGCCCCATTTTTTGAAGCACATAGCTGACTCTGCAGATCTTTCAGCACATTTTCTGATTAAGCAACACAATGTTAAGGGATATTTTGAAAGCAGTGTTTTGTATTGTCACTTCCACAGGAAAAAAAATGCATCTTTATGTACTCTATTCTCTTATAAATGTATTAAGTGAAATTTTAAACAATCAGTGAGAAAGTGAATCCTAAGCACTGCATTACATTCAGTATTTATAACAGCTAAACTCACATCAAAATGCATTCTCATTTGATTAGTTTGGTACAGCATACAGCATTATATTGTAAAGGATTTTATCTGAACTGTCAAACTAAACAAGACAGATTTTGGTTACAGCGACATATTGAAGTTTGGGCTCTGTATCCCCAAAACATGCTAACACCTTCAGCTGTTTTCCATTTACTGCTCATGAGTCTTTTTATTGATGCATTTTTTGGAAGTAATGCTGCTCTACCTACATTGCTCTGATCAGAGAGCACGTTAATTAGCACAATATAGATAAAATTGTGAATTAATTATTTTAATGAGGTCACATAGTAAAGAACAACAATTTTTATCATAGATTTTAGCAACGACTAGCAATTCTGCTTGAAGAGGTAGAGGCAGCAAGCTGCTCCTGCAGGCTAGTCTCAAGCATAAATATTTGTCTGTGGTTTTAGAGTCAGTTTAGAGCTGCTGTTCCACTATCTTCCAATGCTAAGCTCCCAGTCTGCTACCAATGCGATCTCCACTGAGTGGTAAGGCACTCCACAGCCAGAGAGCTTTCACTACTAGTTTACTGCAGCCACTAAAACACGCTGTTCCATAAGGCTATTCCCCATAATGTTTAAATGGCTGCTATCCGGATTAGGAAGAGTCATCAGAAGTGAGTTCTAGTTTCTGGATCCTTACATACATGTGCTCCTCAAAGAGCTTTTTGTAGCGATCTCATCAGATCATGTTTTTGCCTCCCCTTTGTGCAATTCTAACAGCAGATCATTACTTACTATGTTTTCACTATTGTAACAAGAGCTGTGCATTAGCTTTACCACTATACCATATGGAAAAAAGGTTAAGAAATAAACAGCTACTAAAAAACCTTCTGGATGGAGAGACCAGCTAATGCTTCATTGTTAAATTCCAGTATCAAAGAACCAGAGAGAAAGAAATGCCTATTTTGAGGCTATGACAGGAGTCTGTTTTGCTAAAACCCATGAAAGCTTACATAGCATAAAATTTAAACTGCTGCCACATTTGTTTACACCACTTTACAATCATAGCTACTCTTAAGCTTAAAAAGAAGTCACGTAAACTACCTCTGACACAGAAGCTGCTGTAATGGGACACCTTGGTTGCAAGCATATACAAGAAAACTCCACAGCTGGTGTTTCTGAAGAATGCAAGAAATGCAAACAACCTGTCATCCTTGTATTCCTACATAAGGTAAGCATCTCACTTGAAGATCTCAACATCCAACGCTATCTCCCTCCTTTCAAAAAAGGAAAAACCACACAGGGAAATTGATACAACAGCTGCACACAAAACTAACCACATAATCAATTGCCTATACGGGCTTCTGACCAACAATCAGGCTGTTTCAATATCAGATTTCAACACTAAACACCACCTAACTGCAACACTGCACCTCTGAAATCAGAATACAAAGCTGAGCTAGCGTACCTAGAGATTATTACATGATTGCTTTAATTCCAGCTTACTCTATGGCTGGGATGTCTTGGCAGGACTCATACCTTACCACAGATCATTTCAGGACAGTCAGTACCCTCTTGATGCTTGTAACCTAATATAAAGTCTCATCTGACAGCTATTATAAGCTAGATATTGTAACAGAAGAGTATCAGTCCAGTCAGTATACCCCAGCATACATAATCTGACCGCAACAGTTAATGTAATAGGTCATCACATCAACACACACTTTAATGAGAACAACGCCGTGTCAGTTTTAACATTCATGAGTTTCTCCCACATCAGATGACACTTACCTCTACTTCCACAGACTGCATTGCTAAGTCACACGGTGGCTTCAGTGCTTTTGGTCTTGTTGCGTACCAGTAGGTTGTGAGGGCTGCAAAAGCACCAAAACCCACCAGGGTATTTGTGGGAAGGGTGCGCACATACTGCCTGACATCCACAAGTTCAGGAATCCGCATATGCCTAAACAAGTCGTGTGCTTGCATCATAGCTCAGTGCAGTTGTCCCAGTGCTGGAACCTGTTGACACGAGAAAAGTTGCACAGATTTGAGATTGTTTTGATACACTGCTGTAGCACAGAGCAACATATGCTTAGTCCTACTAGTTTCTCCCTGTCAAAATGATTTTTATCTGCCACTAAGCAGTCAATACCTTTAGAATTCTGTAACGGAGTTACGTAAACAAGCAATTTTTGGTTCAGGAATATCAGGTGAGACTGACAGAAGGCAATTTGAGTTTTAAGATCATTTAAAAGATACCACATGTTAACAAAATATTTGCTTTTTTTTTTTATTTGAAGGGCAGCATTTCACAAATGGTAAATATTTACCATACTGGCTGAGTATGCTGTGCTACAAGGCTGCTTTTAGAGTAAGTGTCAAACAGGACTCCAGGGAGGGAGGCAGGGCTGCTAGCTTTCCTGCACCAGCCAACAGAGTGCACCCTAACCCTGCAGTAGGGGGAGAAGGATCCTCTATCTCTGAAGTTCTGTCAAACAACCTCTCCTTTTCCGGTCTCCCTTTGGTCACACACAGAAAGCTCTGCAAAGAGCTCATGGAAGGCATCTCCCTATGGCTGCACTGTGCTGGCCAGCTTCCCATTTCTCTCAGCGTCACACTAGCAGTTTACCATTGGCCACAAAGCAGAACAAAGCTGTATGCAAAAAGCAGCAGCATCAACAAGCACAGGAAGCACGTTTTGCTCGTCACGTCCATACAGAGAGCTGAGGAGAGGCAACTCCCAGCCCATGCCTGACATGGATATTCCGCAGCAAGAACCAGCAATGGAAAAAAGCACTGCTGCCAGCTCAGCTGGTGCCCTCCTCCACAGCCAAGGTCTCCAGGGACGTCTGTCACATGCCACCACCAGCTCCTGCCCACTAGGTTAGAGGTGAGCAGCAGGCAGACGACAACCCACACCAGTAGCTGCCATCACCTGCTACACCAGGACAGAGCAGACAGCAGAGTTGCCTTGTCCTGTATCCAACTTGCTTCTTCAAGAAGAGAGATGCTTTTGTTTGGTTCATTTTGGCTGAGCAAAGAGCCCACAGAACATCAAATGTGCTTGAATAGTTGAGGAGTGCTGTGAAATGATACGTTGCTGCAGGGCGAGAATGCAGGAGGCCAGAATTAAAAGCATATTCCTTTTTCTAACCAGCTATAACAGGTCAAGATTTCTCATTTCTATAGAAAAAAATTTCAAATTTGTAAGCAACTATCAAAAACTATGAAGTTTTCATTGCTGTCATCAGCTAGTCAACTAGGCAGCAGAGGAGGAGTCCTCTTGTCCATAAAGGCTAACCAGTATTTGGACTCAGATTTGCTGCAGGCAGCAAAAAAGAAGCCATAAAACAGTTCAAAGGGCCCACAGTTTCACAACATTAGCAGGACACTCTGAAATCAGGTCATGGATAGGAGCAGTGTTAAGATGGGATCAATGCCATCTCTGGGCAGGTCCCAGATCCAGCACTCCCAGGCTAGCAGTCATTGCCCTCCTCTCCTCCTCACCTTTGTGCCTGACTGCACTACGGGGCACCCTGCATAACACTAGAGAAGTTACCTTTCCATCATCTGCTCTGTGGCACAAGCCTTTGGGTACAGCCCACTGCAACACAGCAAGCTGTAGTAATGGAAGGTAAAGAAGAACAGTACATTGAAAAAATCCCTCCATCTTCCCTTAGCATAGAGAAAGTAATCGATTACTGACTTGATAATTAGGATTACTGCACCACAGCTTTTTATGCATGAGATCACTCAAATATTTGCATCACAGATACAGAACTTCTCTCTGAAGTGTGAAATACACATAGATGAAAAATAAGAGAAGACATTCCAACATGGAAAGGCTTAGCCTGCAAATTAATATCGGACATCCTATTAGATATCATGCTATCAAATAAAAAAAAAAAATAGGGCTATAATGGAAGGGCTAAGAGCAAGCTTCACTCTTTCCTCCTCAAGCCTCACTACAAACACCTCTGTCTTAAAAACTGATACTTGCTTCCCCCGTGCATTAGTCATGTGTCCTGAATATATATTGCATAACTCAGGGATGCAGCATAGTCTGAGAATTATTCTTTCCAAAGGCTGTTGCATCATTATAGCTACCAGGAATAGAAGTGAACATGCTCATTTCATTCACATAGAAGTCCCAATGCAGCTAAGAAGCTGGCATGAGTTAGGACTGAAGAAACAAAAAGCATCACTACTTTCAATTTCCATGATCAGTTGTTTGCAGAGCAATGTACAACATACAATATTCTGGAGCAGCTATATCAGAATCCCAGTTAAGTAATGTATTTTACTGCTTATGTTTATCTCAAAGGAAACTATTACACCTGCTTCATCAGCACAAAAAGACAAGATTAGGAAGTTTTCAGCCAGATTAAGCAATTCCTAGCTTTAATGCTACCTGCTAGGTTACACCAACTCTTGTTTTCTGTATTTGATGCAAAGTCAGATGCAAGAGGGAGAATACACTCCAAACAAATGCAACTGAATACACCCCTCAAAAAAGACATCAGGTTTCAATGCCCTTCTTTGTAACTACTGGGCTCATGTCCCAGTCACATCCAACATCTGAGGTCTTCCCCATGACCAGAAGAAGCAGCTTAAAGCCATTATATCTACATACAAGTGTTATTTTCAGTGAAGTATGATCTGGCTTTCAATCCTTCTTGAAAAGAAAGGGCCCAGCTATGTTTGATTATTCAAGACAAGCAAAAGAGGCTAGCAACTCTATACAATCCAGTCTGTTACTTCTACCCTCCAGCACTAATCTACAAGACACTCTCCCAATTATGCAGCACACCCATGGCTGGGCACTCCTAACTGTCACCTATGGATCTCCACATTTCTGAACTTCATGCCTTCCTTCCATGTTTCACCTCAACCATTTGAAGACTAACAGAATGAACAGTAAGCTATTAACTTTAGCTGCAAAATCAGCATAGGTCATCCTCTTGGAGAAAAGCACTTTGAACTTTTGGCTGTGGGACACCTAACACAGAGGCAGAGCTGTATACACAAGGTCAACAAGATATATTGACAAACAGCATTCTTTACTACAAATGCAAATACTGCATTTGCCTCTTATCCAGATAGGGTCTGGACTACAGATAATGGACTGTGAAACCAGGCCCTGATGGAAGACTGTCCATAGTGATTGCATCACAGCTGGAAGTGTGTGACAAAGAAGTAAAGACAGGATGAGAAGTACCAGCCCATGATCCTCAAGATGCTACATGCAGCAGAAAAGATGGAATAGAAGCGACAACATACACAATTTTTCCTCAATGCAACCAGTAGAGCTTGGCTAGTTTGGTTTTAGTTAGGAGACAATACCAGATACATGAAAGTGGTTTTAATAACAGGGAGGATTAACCATGTCAGAGGTAATTACCCGTCACCTCCAGCAATAGCAGCTCCCCAAACACAGCCCTGAAAGCATCCCTCCAAACAGATCCTATGATTCAGCTGGAGTTCTGCACAGCTTAGACAAAGCGAGCTCTCTGTGCATATGCACAGCCCACAGTACCCCAGGCCCATTCTTTACAGTGGAGCCAGTATCTCAAGGCAACAACCCAAGTTGGCAGCTCTCGGCCGTTCTTTGCTGCTCCTACTCACGGCACACAATGGGCTATTTACAGAGGGCAGCAGCCTGCCTATTGTCCATCCATAGCCAGACATCGTTCGAGTGCAACGGAAGAACAGGAGAGCAGCCGTCAGCTTCTTTAGTGACAAGAAAACAACCCCAAGAGCCAATGGCCTCCTCCCCTCTACCCTAGCACTGAGAGCACACCAGCACTGGGGTGGCCTGTGACAAAGGCAAGCTTTCCACACAGTAGAGAAGGAGCAGCCACACAATTTTTAGAGCCCCTTGCAGACAGAAAGGCAGCTTAATCATGGAATGACCCAGGTTAAAGAGGACCTCAAAGATCACCTAGTTTCAGCCCTCTGCTGTGGGCAGGGTCGCCAACCACCAGACCAGGCTGCCCAGAGCTACATCCAGCCTGGCCTTGAATACCTTCTGGATGGGGCACCCACAACCTCCTTGGGCAACCTGTTCCAGCGTGTCATTGCCCTCTGTGTGGAAAAACTTCCTCCTCATATCTAACCTAAATCTCTCAGTTTAAAACCTTTCCCCCTTGTCCTATCACTATCAACCCATGTCATTCCCCCTCCTGCTTATACACTCTCTTCAAGGCCACAATGAGGTTTCCCCAGAGCCTTCTCTCCTCCAAGCTAAACAAGCCCAGTTCCCTTTCTTCATAGGAAAAGTACCCCAGAAATTTGTAGTTTCTTACCATTATCAGTATGGCCTAAAGACATTTTACAATGAAATTCTGAAATAGGTGATCAGCCTCCCATATATCTTTGAGTTAGCCTCAAAGCTACTGAGTATTATCTTGCTTTTCTTATTGCTAAAGGTTACACCACAGAGATCCCAACATATCTGTAGCACTGACGTTCTTCACCACACATCCTTCAGGAGATCAAGTGTTGAACCATGTTCTAACTTCTTTACAGAGTACAAGAGGGTGCAACAAATAGCTTTGGCAACCGACAAAAGAAATCTGCTCATCTGAATAGATGCATAATCCTAATCTCATGGTACAATCTGTAATCATCCTAAATTTGATTTCGTTCAATTGGCTCCAGATGTTCCTACAACCTTCTTGGTCAGAGACCAAGCTGGCCACAGACTCATCTGGTGGTGCAGTCACACCAGGAGATGGTCTACCAAGAAGGCCTTTCATAGGTTAGTACTGATGACAGCTCTCAGCTAGATTGGCTTTTGTCTTGAAGACCAGACAGCCATTACTTCCTAGAAGAAAGCAGCACAGCTGGGGAAAGCAAGAACAGTTGCAATATTACATCTTAAGCATGCAACTCTAAATACTGCCTGCAAGTGCTCCCAGGATTCTCTCCCCACCCTGCAGTCAAGGCAGTACATTGAGTAAGGTCTTACAACTACCTGTGTCAGAGCCCAGCTGTAACCAGCAGGGAAACCACAAACACCCTCAAGACACAGGAAAGGAGCATAGGTAACTAACACCTAAAGGGAATTTCTCAGTTGAAGTCTCCTTTAACAAAAATACTACAGTAAGAGGTCCCCTGCGGGGCTGCATCTTATCATGAGACTTAACATGCAACTCTGTCCTCAGCCACAAAGGACTTTCCCAAACACAAATATTGCTGAAATACTGCAAGGTTCCACTAACTATTCAACCTTCCTTCTCCCTCCCCACTTTCCCAATTAAAAATACCTAGATCACATCTTACCCAGAATCACATCAATGACCCAACCAGACTACAGAGCTATAACCCCCAATTTAAAGCAGTTAGTTATCAGATTCGCTTTTCTGCGAGAGCGAAGAGGAAAGAACCAAGAAGTTAGTGAGGTAACCATCCCTCACACACAGAGGAAGCAGCAGGTCCCTAATACTCACACCCCAACATTTCCTCCCACAACCTGCCCACACCCCCTGGTCTGGCTCAGAGCAAACACCAGGCATCTCACAGTGCTTTAGGTTGGCACTGCTGGCTCAGGCTGATACAAGGCAGATGACTGCAAGGAAGCAGCCTGCAAGTTGGTTTCAGCCCTGTGCTTGCTCACAGGACCTGCTCACTTACTTAATAAGCTGTAACTGAAGGAATGAAGACTCCTGCTGCAACCTAGAAGCATTACATGTGACACTGATGTGTGAAGGCTCTGTCCCCCACTGGGTAAAGTTACAGCCCTGTCCTTGGGCACTTGGCTACAATCCTCTTGTAATAAAATGGAACACCTGGATTCCCACCCTTTAGTGCTGTCCAACAGGAAACCTGAGTGCAGGGCAGTAAGGTCACTAAAGTTCAAGTGCAGAAGCCAAGTGGATTCCCATCACCTGGTTCAGTGTCTGGCACAGTTTGCATCAGCAGCACTCAATATCACCATGTCTCAAGGAAATTAGTACTTTACCAAAACTTGAGACAGTGACCAACTTAAGTGTTTCCTTTGATCTGCACTTACAGCCTCAGAGCAGGTCACTGAGCAATCTTACAATTTTCCCACCTTCAGTGATTGCAAAAGAGGCTTACAAATATATTTTGATGCCTGAATTACTCTCCCTGTTAGATGTGCATCCCTAAAGTTCAAGCTCACAAGTGTATCACAGCACTCTGTGTTCACTTCTCTCAATCTAAACACAATTCAGATGAAAATTGCACTGCAGAGGCAATTGCTCTGAACTGGCAGCTTTCTGGGGGCATTAATGGCTCACTTACACCAACTTATTCCTGCTATTCATCCCAGGAGCATTACCATTGAAAAAGCCCTGTGTGCACCTCAAGCACTCACGTGAGACTTCGCAGGAAAGGTTTTTATCCACCTGTCTGCCACCTGACATCCATAGCAAAGGGCAACGTGGACCAGGCACACTTAAGCCATGCTGCATCACACCAGATAATGTTTACATTCAGAGAAAGTTTAAAAATAAACAGAAGTGGTTACACTGAGGCCAGGCATATCAGTAAGTACTTACTAGAAGCAGTTTGTTCAGAGTGACTTCCCAATGCTAGCACTATAAGAAAGCTATGAAAAACCAAGCAGCCCCTTTATACTGGATAAGGCACTCCTTTCTGCAAATCAGTCCTGCTCTTGGAAAAAAAAAATATTCCACCTCACTCATCTATTAATGCAGCCCAAGTGCAGAGGACAAGCTGTCAAAACAAGGCACATGCAGTCTCAAGCTGAAAAAAGCTTAAGAGGTCTGGCTTTAAGAACTCTAATTCATATAAAAAGCCAAAAGTCCTTTTCTGCAGCTTAACACAGGGCTTCCTGCATTTTCACAGGAAGCTTTAAGAAAGTCCAGCAACAAAAAAAGCTTTTTTCCCCTTCAGATTTTTATAAAACCATATTAACTGTTTTCAGTGTTGGACAGAGTATCAGTACTACTAAGAATCAGATCTAACAGAAATTAGTATCTTGCTACCACATTTTTAACTCCACAGATAAGTAACTCCTAACTTGGAAGGCAGCAAGGGACTGCAGCAGCCTTTGTGTTCTCACGTATCCTTGTTTCATGAGTCAGGCTGGATCTGCAGAAATGCAAGCCCCCAGTCTGCAGGCAGGGTTCAGACTGCCATCTGCAAAGGTCAGTACTATACAGCACTGCTTCCTTCAGTCATGCATCATAGTAAACTCCCACACAAAGCCATTTTCCAGTGGTCAAACCATCTCCCCTCCTATTTATGAGGATTTCTGAGGCGTTACCACTGTTTATACAAAAGGTAAGAAATTGTGCGTTTTCACTTGTAATTTAGCGCAGTAAGGAAATAGAACACAGCTGCCAGCTCCACATCAGACTATCAGAACTCTAATTTATCTCACTATGTACATCCTTCACTGTGTTTCCCAGAGAGAATCCGTCCTTCTGTTGTGTATTCGAAAAATTTGATGCCTTAAACCTTACTTGAGTCTACCCATCCCCACTCATCTGCACTACAGATATCTGTACAAAACAAAAACCAAAACAAGCACTATTGCATTCCTTTGCTCACCTCAGTTAAAACATCTTTTTAGAGGAGTTAATGCCTCCTCGCTGGAAATTAATGCACCCAAATCTGAAAATATAACTCACCTTCATCTCCTCCAAAAATTCAATGCATAATTAATTTGCAGTAGAGTGATCAGGTAGGAGAGTCAGCCATAGAGTCTTTTCTCAAAGAAACAGGAGAGTTACTAACCCAGATAACTATTTTTAAAAGCTTTCCTTCCTTCCATTTGAATAACTACTTTTGTCCAGTGATACCAACCTTGCACTTGACCTTGAAGCAAAAGGCTACTCAAGGGCTTGCTTCAAGAACTAATGACCTACTTCCAACCTCATGCTGGCCAGTCTGTAGTTGTGAGTGCACCAACCAAGTTTAGAAGCTGCCTTTTGAATTCAGTATCATCACTGCAGCCCTCAGAATAGGCTAAGGCCACGTGCTCAAGACCTTGAATTGGGTACACAAGCTACTTGTAACTACAAGCTTTAGACCCTGCCCACCCCACTCAGCTAGTATTTTGCTTTTGTTATTCCAAAAGGCTAAATATTGGTGGGGCTCAAAGAATCAGTCAGCAACAGTATAATTCCATAAGGAACTCTGTATTTAGTTCTCCGCATTTTTAGTATTGATATTACTGATAAAAGAAAAGAGATTTTTTTCCTCTGAGTGCAATGCCCTCTTGCACTCGAAGCTTCTTTGAGCCAAGAAATCTGACCTGAATCTCTTGATCTGAGAAACTTCAGGTCTCAAGTCCAAGGGCACGTTCCAAAGTGCGGAGGTGAACACAAATGCTCCCAGGCCAGCTGAGGAGACAGCCCCGTTCCCTGTAAAGCAATGTGGTAAAAATAAGCTGCTACCACCACATGGTTTAACTCTTGCCTGGGCACAAGCACTGCACCATGAGGCTCCAGCAGCAGTTACTTTCAACGTCACTGTTTTCTCTCACAACTCTGACCACCTTATCTCTGACACCAGCCCAATGGAGACCAGCACTCAGCTGTGTCACTAGGTCCACAAAAGCTTTGCTAATACCCCAGACGCTTTGCTAACACCCCAGACGGCTCACACACGTGCCCTTTAGAAATACAGAAGGCTGCAAGTGTCGCCAGTCCTGTTCAACAGGAACAAGAAATGTACACACCTCGGAACAAAAGCACCGTTCAACTCGGTTAAACCCCCGTAGCGCTGTATTCCTACCTCACAGGGAAAGGAGGCCTGCAAAGACAAACTCACTCAGCCTTCCATTTTAAGGCAGGTTGCCTCACGCCACATTATCACACGCACTCGAGTGTTCAGAAAGGAAAAAAAAAAAAAAAAAAAACATTATTTCAAGAGGAAGCCTGCAAGCACGGCCTCCTGGAGACGGGCGAGGGGAGGGCTGGCGGCTGAGCGCAGGGCACGGCGCTCCCGGCATGGGCTCAGAGCCGCGTCCCGCCGGCCCCCGCCACGCCGGCTCCCAGGCTGCCTCCGCGGGGACACCGATCGGACACCGATCGCGCCGCCGCCAGCCGGGCGGCAAGCAGCCCTGCCGACACCCCCCGGCCGGGTGACAGCCCGCCGACCCGGCCCCGAGGCGGGGGTTGCAGAGCACAGCAGAGCAGAGCAGAGCAGAGCCGAGCAGAGCCGAGCCGGGGCCCCGGCAGGCCCCGCCGCGGCCACCCGCCCGAGCAGCCCGCGGCCCTGACAGCCGCCCGCCCCCCAGCCGGACCCCCGGCCTCCTCGTCCCGCGCCCCGGCGGCACCGCCGAGTTCCGCTCACCTCCCGGCGGCGACGGCAACAACACGCAGAGCTGCGCGCGGCTTCCCTGGTGCCGCCCTATTTAAGAGGAGCACGGCGGGAGCGGCGTGTGCGTGTGGCGAGCCCGCCCATCCGCCCTCACCGCCCCCCGGCGGGCGCTAGGAACGGGACCGCCTCCCTCCCTCCCTCCCTCCGGGCCGGGGCCCGCGGGCGAGCGCTGCCTGCCTTTACGGCCTGCCCAGCTCCGCGCCTGCAGCTCTGCCCAGCGCGGAGAGCGGCGCTGCGCTTCCCCAAGCCGTGCAGAAGCCTGGGAAGGCCGGTGGAAGTGCTGCCGTGCACATGCTGCAGAGGACGCATAAGCAAACAAGAGGGAAAGTGTACATGCTACAGGGTGCACCCCTTGATACTTGACAAATACTTTGTACCTTACAAAAGGTAACAGCTTGTGAGGGAAATGTTTCTTTACACCTCTGCAAACGACACTTAATCCAGTGCAACTCTGCTAAAAAGATGTACATTTTGTGAAGAAAGCATTCAGAAGGGACAGTGAGCTCCTGGCGACCACAAGAATCACGTTACCCAACTCTAAATATTGCTTGTGAGGGGACCATGGATTGCACGCTTGTTGACTAGAATGAGGGGTTACTTCAGCAACCACTGAGACCTGTCCTGGTTTGGCCATGTGCCTCATGAGCCCGCTTGATTGGTAAATCATCAACCCAAATCTCAAAGTTCCACTGTTCTGTACACGCTGTATTGATGTGATTTTTACCCTCTAGTGTTTAATGGGTTACCTGGGTTATTTTAAGGGGACAGAAGTTAAGACTACACACATTCCTTTACATACATAATATTTGATAAAGTATTGAATGTTCTTTTATTTCATGTAAAGACAACCCCTATTTCCCAGTGCTTCAGCTTTTACTGAACTACAGAAGAATGGAGACATCCCATGAGATGGAAGTGTGACAGAAGGACAGGGCCTGTGTTCACTTCTTAGTGAGTAAAGAAGAAGCCAACTCCGAATCAGCCCACAGTCCCACTTAACTGCACTTGGATCACTTTGTGGAGAGTCTCACAAATGCAAAACAGATTCCTTTCTCCTGAAAGGAAATGGAAACTTGTCACCCAGTAGCACATCCAGCTGCCAATGGGCATTAAGGCCATAGCACGGCCAAAGCGATAGGAATTAAGCCCTAGGGCACACACAGCATGGCCATCAGCTCTCTACAGCAGTTGCACTCCTGTGGTTTGTTCTATTGCACCGCACTTTGTGCTCCTGTAGACAGAGGCAGCCTCTGCCAAGGGATTTTTGCATCATGTCCGTAGTTTTGGATGAAGGCATCAATCAAGTGATGCAGGAAAAAAACAAACTCAGGCAGTGGTGAATTCACATTTTGCTTTTTTTTTTTTCATGAATGCTTCTATCTGCCAACCACCAAAAACTCACACTGATTTTATCTACTATGCAAATTAATCCTTCATTATCACATCCTTCCCTCCCCCATATCTGGGTTTCTGAAGGACAGAAACCACATCTTTCAGCCTTCTCTCTCAGAGAAACTCAAGTGGACTTTGCTGGAAAAGAGGGTTCCTAATAGGTGTATCTGTGTGTCCACCTTTCTCTATCATGTGTAGGTATCCTTTTGTGAATCCTGTCATCAACATGAAAGTGCAAAACCACCAGCTAAGTGGTATTTGAGTATGTATCTCACTAGTGCCATGCACTACACCTCTCTGCTCCTACTTGACACTCACCCGACTATACATCCAGGGACCACAGTTCTCTTTGAAATCGGCTTTTTCCTGCTGATTAGAAAAGAAAGGGACCTAGGCAGAACCAGATTACTTAGAAAGACATATAAAGAAAACATGGAAATAGCAGCTGTATGGAAATAAAATCCATAATAGCAATATTGGACTTTCTTGTGGAGGGGAGCTCAGGAAACAGCTCCTGTACTGGTGCCACTGTCCCTTGTCCTTTCACTGAGCAGCACTGAAAAGAGTCTGTCTCCATCTTCTTTCCACCTCCACAATAGATGTTTATGCATACCAACAAGATGTGCCCTCATCACAAGCTTTCCCTTCTTGAAGCTAAGCCCTTCCAGCTTTCTCAGCCTCCCACTGTGCGATAAAAGCTCCAGTCCCTTTGCCAATATCCATGGCCCTTCACTGGGCTCTCTCTGGGATGCCCATGTCCCTCTTGCACTGAAAAGTCCAGGCTGGACCCGACATGCTAGCCATAGCCTCCCCAGTGCTGATACAATAACACTGATGTTGAAGTACCATCTATTAGCTATCATGGATGAAGGAAATTAAGCATCTGACAGAGACATCACTTAGCTGCATTATTTTCACTTTGGGCATACCACTGTGTTGAATCTCTTCTCTTTGAGAACCATCCCAAGTGCATAATTTATGTAACAAATAGACTGTCTGGCCTGTACCATGTTGTAACTGCATCTGCTCACACTTGCTTAAAATATCAAAGGAAGAAAATACTAAAGAAATTCCTTGTAAATAAGCACTTCAAGATGTCTAGCATATAGTGCTGTTAAAAAACATGAGCTACTAGATCTGCAGAACAGGCATAATCCCTTATGTTTCTTTAATTCTCTCCATAGTGGGAAATGAAATAATTTTCATTTTACATTTGTAACTGTTTAATACACTTGGGAAACGGATTATAAATGCTACTGGCAATTGCTGAGGCACAGGAAGAAGGTCCCTCGGTGATGCAGGATGAGCAAGGAGTCCAGGGGGACTGCAGAAGCAGCAATGTCCCCAGAGCAGTCCCAGAGTATAAAAGCACAGAGAGAAAAAAAATTGTAAAACTTCTGAAGCATAGCAGAAAAGAGACATGATACATATATACATAAGTGCATGCTTGAATTTACTTAGGATATTCTGAGGAAAAAGGAGAAACAGAACTAGAAAACCAACCTGAAATTGCAAACATATGTTTTCTTAAAGTGTAATTGCATTGTTGACTTTCAAGATTTTTGTGTTTTTACTTTCAAACATATAAGGGATTTTCCAGCTGTTCCTACTACTATTCCTTCCACTTTCTGTTTTTGTCTTTGTTTACCAGAGTCCCTGCCTGGCTCCCACTCAGAACACAGGACCCCTCCAGAGCCCAGTGTGAATCTCCAGAACGGGAAGGAGATAGTGGGCTCTTGGAGAGTGGCACCCTGCCAAGTGAAAGACAGACACCCTGGCCACAGCTCTTTCAGCTTGCTTACGTCAGGCTAATGACAATGCTATTTCTTCATGTGATAAGGTACCGACGTAAAAACACAGATCTGGAAAAACCAAATATAAACCGGCAGCAGATTCAACTGTGCTAAAGCCGGTTTATTTGCTTCACATGCTGCATTTCCCCCCCTCTTTCACTCCCAGGCTATCTAATCCCAAGTTTACAGCTTCCCTCATATGAACAATCAACAGAAAGCTTTTCAGATTTGAGCCGTTCAAACGAAACCACAAGCATAAGGATGTTCTGCTGCTCGTTTATGGCAGTGTAATACAAACAAGGCAGACGTGCCCCTTTGTTAACTTTTCCTCCTATAAAATATTTTCCCAATGACCACTCCCCCTGTATGTCTCTTGGAGGGTTGAAGGCACCACAAAAGGAGAGAAAAGGTTGCATCCTTTACTTTTAAAACCTACTTCAGCAGAGAAGCTACAACATGTAAAGCCGCATTACAGAAATGCATAAACTGATCATAACACAGTCTGCATATTAAGTGAAATATTACACAAAGATAAACTGAGCACGAAAGCTCAGAAGTTAAATATTTATTTATCCTTAAACTCCAGCGGGGAAGTGAAGTCTCCATCCGAAAACAAATAAAAGACTGTCTTGGGAATATATCCTGAGCACCGTCCTTTCTGGCTGACAAAAAGATTGCGTTTTATTTGGTACATGATACAGTTCACTGGAATATGTTTAACACAAAAAAGAGCAACCATGCCCAAAACAGTACAAGACTATGGTATATTGAAAGTCCCCGCTAGAAAGGAGCTCCAAACACACAGCATGTTTTCACATTCTTCACATATTCTCCTAACTGCTGCAAGAAACACTAATGCACAAGTGCAATTTCAGCCCCAGGAGTGAGCAAGGAACGTCAGCTTCTAGAAGATGTCTGAAGAAGGTCTACCAGCGCAGCACTGCACTGCATGGGCTCATTCAGACCTCTCTGACTCCATGCTAGCACTCGCAGGAGCCAACAGGGGACTATGAGAAAAATTAATGGGGAGCAAGAGCTTGCATACAGTGATTGTGGTGTAGTGTCCTTCACACTTTGCTGCAAATTTGTGCTGAGAAAGGGAGAGAGAGAGAGCCAGTGTGTAGGTTAATGTGGTGTCAAGAAGGTGAATCTTGGGAATATTTTTAATAAAGGGTTTGTAGACACGGATAAGATCAGGATGGCCAACGTTCAAACCATGAAAGTATTTGACAACAAGGCCCGTAAGTAAACTACGTCTTCACTTGGGATAAATGCCAATCTGGGGATTAAAACAGCATCTTGTCAAGGCTCTTCATCATAAATTACCTGTATTGACTCTTGTGATGGGTGGAAAAAATTCCACCCTCCCTCTGCGGTGGTGTGATTCACCTAGGTATGCTGCGTGGCAAGACAAATAGGTCTGGCTTTTGAATAACAAGCCTTCCCATCCAAGCTCCCTTCTATAGGAAATGGACATGAAAAACAGGTTAAATATACCTCTCTCTGGTAGAATATTGCTAATAAGAAGAAAATGAGCATTGTCTGACCACGTCTATCTTGCCAGGAACCACCATTAATCAAACCAGAAGTTGAACATGTACCCATCTGTCTACAGAAACCAGCTACCGGGTACTGTACCAACACAATTTCCCTGCCAATGAGCACTGGACAGCATGCAGCCTGGCACTGTGCATGGACCCAAGCATAAGAGATGAGAAGCCATGCCATTCTTAGAAATGGAGTTTCCCTATCCTGCTCCTGAACAGCACAGGCGGATCAAGCTGTCACTTCGACTTGGTGCCTCCCCATCCCATCCTGATGACTTGCTGACAACATTCACAGCCCCACCTACTCACCTCAGAGACCTCAGAGTTTCGGATAGTACAAACATGCAGAACTCAGGTGATCATTT